GGGGAGGGGGGCACTGGCCCAGGTTGGACAAGGATGGATCCCCAATCGCCCAACCATCGCCAATCGGGGCCCAGGATTAATTCGGGCGTGTCCCTCTACAGGGGGAATAGTACCCAAAATCCGCCTATTGGGGGACATGCTGGACCGAACTCCAGGGGCAACGATGGGGGGGGGACTGGCTCAGACTGGGCAACGATCGACCCCCAGTCGCCCAAGCATCGCGAATCGGGGCCCGGGGCCTCCTACTCCGCCCAGCAGCGTGCGGCGTCGCCCTCGGGGGCCTTTTTACGCAGATTCCAGCCATGGCCCCCCCTCGCCGAGCCAGGCCTGCGCCCCTCCCCCCGGCCCCCGACGTCATGATCTTCTTCGCAGCCTGGGCCCCTGGAGAGGTTTCGACCCACTCCCCGAGCCCGGCTTCTCATCCCGAGCCCCCGCTCTCTGGTGGCCCTGGGGTTAGGTCGGGCATGTCGGCATGTCCTCCTGAAGGCAGATTTTGGGCGAAACCACAGATCTAACAAATAATCGAACAGAGTCAAACATGGTAGAACCTCGTCCCCCGATTACTAAAACAATCATTTTGGAAATATCTCCCTGCAGAGGGACACGCCCGTCCCAACCCTGGGGCCCAACGAGGGGGCCCAACATGCCGAACGTGACAACAGAAACCGTCCGTCCCCGCCCGACGTGCCCCGCCCCCCCGCCCCCCCCCTTTTCGACTCGCCTTCAGGAGGTTCCCCTCACGGCCTCCATGGACGCGAGCGAGCTCCTGGGCTGCTTCGAGCAGGCGAGCGACGGAGGGAAGCGGGGGGCCGGCCTCGCAGGCCTTCGCGCGGAGGGCTTCCCGTGTGAGACCGCGCGGGAGCGCGCGGCGTGTCGCTCTGTCGGCTCGCGCAAGCCACGTCGGAAGGTCGCTGTACCATCTCGCGTCAGGCGCGTTACTCTCAGGAGGGGGAACACACACACACACAGACAGAATTCACCGCCGACTCCCAGGAAACCGCGGGAAAGCCTGGGCAGCGGGGGGGGATAGGACGAAAGCCCTCGGACTATAGGACAGCAGGGGGGGGATCCTGGGAGTTGTGCCTATTCCTTGGCGTGGCCCTGGGCGCCTCTGTATCTCTCGTCGCCCAGGTGGACTCGCGGGCCCGCCTGGAGGGCTTCTGCAGGGCGGCGCGCGGCGCGGCCGAGGCGCTGGCGCGCCTGGCCATCCTGGGTGCCGGCGGCCCTGCGGCGTCGGTCCAGGCTGGGGGCTCCCTTTGATCAGAGCGTGAATTGCCTGCCACGCCTTTCGCTTCCAGGCAAAACCAAGCCCTACCACGCGCCTCCTCGTCAGGCGGCCTGACCAGTGCAGGCCGCAGTTTGGCATCGTTTGGTATCTCTTGGAAGCGGGGGTGGTCAAAAACGAGGCAGGTTTGGTTTCCCCCTATTTGATTCCGTTTTCGTGGTACCTGGCATCGCTCGGACGCGTGCATGTTTTCTCGGCGAGGACCCTCGAGGACCATCCTGGACCATCGAGGAAACAACAACACGCACGACATCGAAGCGTGTACGGGAAATGGACGTCCGAGCGACGGCGAGGAGAGCGTTTCGCTAGGCTCTAGTAGGACGCACAAAGACGCCCTAGTACTGTATGTCCTCCTTGGAGGCGCGCGTCCGACCCGGAACATGCAGACAGTGTGCCCATCCTGCAGCATGTCGCCTCCCGAGCGGTGTGGCCAGAAAGCGCCCGCCACGACGCACATACTACTAAGATGGATTTCGGTGCGCGCGTCGCCCCTGGGGGGGGGGGCGACGCGCACATGGTGTTCGTATGTTGGGGCGACGCCGACCTCACGGTGGCAGAAGCACGGACCACAGAAGAGTCCCACAGGCGGGACGGAGAGCCCGGGACCGCCTCCCGGGGTCGCCCGGTCCGGCAGCCGTTTCGCCCGATACGCCCCTACGGTTTATTCAGGATCCGTGCGCTCGCCTCCATGCCGGGCAGACTTTTGGTCCAGACGGGCACGATTCTTGGTACAATATACACTGAGGTGCACATTGCCTTGCTCTCACGTCTTTTTTTTTTTTCTCTCTCTCTCTCTCTCTTTTTTTTTTTTTTCTCTCTCTCTCTCTCTTTCTCTCTTTTTTAATACATATATATGTAGATATATACACCCGACCTCTTACTCCTCTACTCGCCTCCGCACCTTTGCTGCTATTAGTGTGCTTCGCTAGGGTAATAAGACTCTGGGAGGCCAAATTCGGCCTGCATGCGCAAGGCGGTCGTGTGGGGCCGCTTGGTGTGTGTGTGTGTGTTTAAGAAGTGTACGTTTGTATGTCGAAGATGCCTGGATGAGTTCAGGGTGGTCGTTTTGGGTATGGTCGTTTTGGGTAGGGTCGTCCTGGGTGTGTCACAATGATTTCAGAGTGGTGGCGTCTTTAAGAGCATCAAAGGGAACCCAAACCCAGGCGGAGTTCTTCCAGAAGGACGTCGCCGCCTGCTTCACGAGGTGTGCTCTCTCTATAAGAAGAATACTAAGACGAGTATTGATAATAAGAAGAAGCATCGCTCGTGTGATCGTCTTCGCCATAAAGCAGCGGGGACCTGCGGGAACCGACTTCTGAGTTTTTTTTTCGCTGTCTTCGGACTCCCGTGGCCCTCCGAGAGACCCTGGGCCGTTGGAGAACGACTCAGGACGAAACATTGGCCCTGGGGGGGAAGCCCCGATGTCCATACAGTCGGGGCCCTGAAGAAGGAACCCTTTTCGTTGGGGAGGGGCTCCGCGTTCCTTAAGTGTTTCACAGCTTGCCTCAGGCTTTTTCTTATGTTTTCGATCGGAAATCGAAGGTTAACTTATGGAAAAAAGGGGCCTCGTTCCTTATTTAGGGTTCCTTAGGTCAACGCCCCGACTGTAATCCGGTTCCTTCATGCCAAGATCACCCGAGCGACGCAGGAGACGGGGGGTCGTCTGCGCCGACACTGGCGCGTAAGCTGCCCGCGTAAGGCCGCGCGTAAGCGCCCTGGTCTCCAATGCAGCGTGCCGCGCCGGCGGCACGCGTAAGCCGCGGCGTAAGGTCGCTATGCCATCTCGCGTAAGACCCCTGTTTGAGCGTCGCCCATCCGTCTCTCATCGCTTCCCCCGCTCCCCGCTGCCGTCTTGGCGCAGGTCTGACAGGAATCTCGCTGCCATCGGCAGGCCCCGCCACTGCGCAAGCCCAGCACTTGTGGGGTGGCGACTGTTTTTTGAAGAGCGCACGAAAAGCCGTGGCGCGTGACTGCTCGCGTCCCAAGCCTTGGGAGAGCTGTAGCAATGTGTCAAGCTCTTACACGACCTTCAGGCGATCGCACGCATGGATCAAAGGGGGCGTGGATTAGCGACGTGCCCCGTTCCCATATAGGAATCGCGGATCTCCGCCGCCGAGCGAGGCGGCACCGGCCGCCTTTGGGGGGGGGCACCTCCCCCGATCCACGGAGTTGGCGACCGCGCGCCGAATCCACGGATCGCGAATCCATGTTTGCGCGCCCCCGAGTCTTGTCGAGGTGTCCCCCACTCGTGCTCGTCGCCGTCGTCATCTTCTCTCCGTCCTCGCTCCCCTTCTCTGTGGGGGCCTCTCGTGGTCATCTTGGGGGCCTCGTGCAGGCCTCTTGCAGGCGCCTTGGGGGCCTCGGGGGCTCTCTCGGGCTCCTTGGGTCGCCTTGGGCGCTCCTCAGCCTGGCGCCTTCGGGGTCCGTCTTGGGGGCCTTTCTAGACCGTCTTGGAGCTTCCTTTGGGCCCCCAGAGTGGCCGTCTTGGGTGGTCGTGGTGCGTCCTCGAGCTGTCTTGGGGCCGTCTTGGGTCGACGGCAGCGCCGCGGCGGCGGCCCCCGCTGGGACCTCCCCGTCTTGGATCCGCGCCGGCGGCGCCTCCGGCGCCGTCCCTGGCGCGCTCCGCGCGCCAGGCGCGCCAGGGAGGGGGGTCCAGCGCGGATCCAAGAAATCGGCGCGGAGTGCCAACAGTCTATATTCATGCCGTTTTTTCTTCCATCGGAGGCCTCTTGGGCCATCCGGGGGCCTCCTGGGCCCTCTCGGAGGCCCTCGGGCATCTGAGAAATTTTGCCCTTCTGCCCAGAAGGGAAACAGCTCATCGGTCACGTTCTACAGATCACCGGGGGCATCAGGCTCCTTGGCCCAAGGGCACAAGGGGTCCCGAGGTGAAGGGGGCCCCAATAGAACAGAGGGCAAGGGGTCCAAGGTAGATGGGGCCCCAGGGGACAAGGTCTAAGATCTCTTCGTGAAGCAGAGGGGCTCCAGGGTAAACAAAGGGCCCCAGACCCCAGGGCCTTCCAGGTGCCGCCTCCCAGTCCCGAGCCCTTGCTCCTGGCGGCCCCGTTGCCCGCGGGAGATCTCCAGGGGTCCGGGAGCGGTGAAGGCCCGCCAGGTTGAAGCCTCCTCCTCCTCCTCCTCCTCCTCCCTCCTCCCCCTCCTCATCTCGTCCTCCTCCTCCCCTACCTCCTCCTCCTCCTCTCCTCCTCCCCATATCCTTCCTCCCTCCCCTAGCCTCCACTCTCCTTCCTCCTCCTCCTCATCCTCCTACTCTTCCTCCTTCCTCCTCTCCTGCCTCCTCGTCCTCCTCCTCCTCTCCCATCCTTCCCCTCGTTTCACTCTCTTCCTCCCCGTCCTCCTTTCCTCCTCCTCTCTCCCTCCTCCTCCTTTCTCCTCTCTCTCCTCCTCCTCCTCTCCTCCCTCCTCCTCCTTCTCCTCCCCTCCTCCTCCTCCTCTCCTCCTCTCCTCCTCCTCCTCCTCCTCCTCCTCCTCCTCCGCCTTCTTTTTTCCCTCCACCTCCTGCTCCTTTTTTCCCTCCCCCTCCTCCTCCTCCGCCAGCTGGGGGGGCTGAGGTGAGGCATCGGGGCTCAAGGTCGCAGGCGATCTTTCTCCCCCAATCCCCGAGTTCCGCCCGAAAAGTCTGGCCGCTCTGAAAAAGGGGGAAACCCTGGGATACACCCAAGGGGGCTATTCGGACCTAGCCTATCGAGGTTTGACGCCCCCCATTGTATATCCCAGGGTTGGGCCCCCAATTTTGGTCCATCCGAGAACCTTTCAAAGCCTGGGATAGGGGTCGACATTTCCTCCATTACAAGGGAATGGGGTCCAAGCGGGGGTCAGCCAGAGCGCCAGATCTTGCAGGATCCTGCGGGGCCAGGGTTGCACTGACCTGGCTGACCCGGGTCTAGATTGACCTGGGTCACCCCTCTTCTTCCATGCCACCGTCTCCGACACTTTGGAAATCCATCTCAACAAATCCCTCCTGGCCTCCCCCCACACCTCCGAACCCTCGAAACTCCTGGCGGCTTCTCCAGCCCTTCCCGGAATCCTTCCAACTCCTCGCCTTTCCGATTCCCCTCGAGCACGTCCCAGGCCCCCTTACCAGTAGACTCAGACGAAGCCGTCTGGGGAGCTGAGGTGGGGTATGATTGGTTCCTGCTGTGAGAGAGGGGGCGAGGCACCATGGTGCAGGGATTCCTTCCTTGTCCCCTCTGTGCGGCCTTCTCCAGATGGGCATTGGGTGCAGAATTTTTTAACCCCTCCCCCACCTGATCGGTTTTGCTGGTGCCCATCCAGGTCAGACCCCAAGCCGCCTCCCGCTCCCAGGGTCCCTCTCCTCCGCAGGTCCTGTCTTGCTCATGCCAACGACCCTCCCCCCCCCCACCTGCGAACGCCGCCCCAGGCTTCCGTTCCTCCGGGGCCCGTCTCTTGCACGCCCGCCACCGCTCCCCCACCCCCGCGCGCGAGGTGCGCCGAGCGGTCCGCAGGCGGCGAACGCCGCGCCAGAGCTCCAGGGCCCGTCTCTCTCTCTCTCTCTCTCTCTCTTACGCCACCGATCCCCCCCCCGCACACGAGTTGCGCCGAGCGGTCCGCAAGCGGCGAACGCCGCGCCAGAGCTCCAGGGCCCGTCTCTCTCCTACGCCACCGATCCCCCCCCGCACACGAGGTGCGCCGAGCGGTCCGCAAGCGGCGAACGCCGCGCCAGAGCTCCGGGGCCCGTCTCTCTCCTACGCCACCGATCCCCCCCCCGCACACGAGGTGCGCCGAGCGGTCCGAAAGCGGCGAAAGCCGCGTCAGAGCTCCAGGGCCCGTCTCTCTCCTACGCCACCGATCCCCCCCCTTGCACACGAGGTGCGCCGAGCGGTCCGAACGCGGCGAAATGCGCCCCAGGGTCTGCAGGATTGGAGGGAGAGTGGCGCCAGCGTCCTGGTGCAGAAGGACGTTTCGGTCTCCCGCCGGAGCGCTCCTCGGCCAAAGGTCTGCGACGGCCTGCTTGCAACAGGATAGCGGCACTGAGCTCACTGGATGGGCAGATTTTTGAAGTGAGCTCATTGATGTCATTCCTTTTGCTTTCGGTGAGATTATTTGTTTTCCGTGAGCTCATTGCCGACGTTCCTCCAGGGCCCGCTTATTTATGCTAGTACGGCAGGTTCGCTTCGTGTCGACCAGCGGCGACCCCGCCGCGGGTGTTCTAGGTTGAACGCCGCCAGTGGCCCAGAATCGGCCTACATGGAACGATCGGGCGATCGGAAAGCCGCCGATCGTTCAAGGTTGAGAAATCCACACGGTGTCAGAAACCAGCGCCAGGGTCGTCACGACACGAACCTGCCGTAGCCGTTTTTGCGCCCCTCCGCGCGTGAGGTGTGCCGAGTTGGAGCGCCTGCGAGACAGCGGCCCCGCGGCCAAGAGGCCGGAGCTCGTGGCCTGCGCGGAGGCCGCAGAGGCTCGGCAGGGGCGTCGACCGATCACCTCCACTGTGAGACGCGTGGCTCTCGAGCGCCTTTGCGCCGTTGGAGGAGTCCCCAGAAGGGCAGACGGTGCCAACGAGAGGCCCAGAGGCCCCCAAGAGGCCACAGGAGGGTCCCAGGAGCTTCCTCCTCCTCCTCCTCCTCCTCCTCCTCCTCCTCCTCCTCCTCCTCCTCCTCGGCCGCCTTCGAAGTCTTTTCGGCCACCTGGCGCCCCTCGGAGCCGCCTCAGGGGTCTCTTGAGGCCACGGCGGGGCCGTCCTGGGCCGCCTCGGGGCCGCGCTGCGCCGCTCGGGGGGCCCTCATCGTGGCCCCCTATGCGGCGACGGGGGGGGCCCTCCGGAGCTGTCTGGGTGACCTCGGGGGCCACCTCGAGGCTCTCTTGGGTCGGGCGCGGACAGAACCCCCAACAGTGACACGTCGATCAGTGAATTGTCCGTTTTCGGTTCTCGAGAGGGCGCCGTGGCCGTTATTTACCAGGCTTGCGCCCGCCAGGTTTGGGCCTCAGGTCGTTCTCACTAAACCACGTTTTACTAAAGGGGGGTCTGTCCATCCCCGATTGGGGCGCTCTTTGGGCGAGCCTTGGGGCCCTCCTCGGACCCTCTTGGCCGACCCCAGCCGAGGACCGCGCCTGGGCCGCGCTGCGCCCCCGGATTCCCCACGAGCGTTCTTGTCGATCCCGCGTGTGCCTTTCCTTTTCTCAGGAGGGAAAGAAACACACAGACACAATGAGTTGTCGATCCCCAGGAAAAGATGCAAAAATATGGGAAGTGGGGGGGAAGACCAAACCCCCCAAAAATATAGGAGAATGTGGGGAATCTTTTTATTTGTGTGTATTTATTTGTGTGTCCTGGGGCCCCTTCATTTTCGGCTCCTGGGGCGCGCCGACGGGCCCCTGGATCATCGAACGTGGATCCATGGCGAGAACCACCCCCAGTCGTATCGGCGGATGTCAGGGTGTGCGCCTCCTTGGCCACGCCAGGAGGGCGTGCATTCCTCGTGCCCAGCATCCAGGGACAGGGGGGGCTCTTCCGCTGGCCACGGCGAGCCTCGGCCACGCACGGTGCCCCGATCCAGAGCCAGGGACCAGCCCGAGAACCGGAGCTCCCTCCCGAGCCCGAATCGGCCCCCAGCTCGACGCCCTGCGCTGCATGCACCGACCCCTGGACCCAGGGTGGGCCCAGCCCGGGATTGGCGAGGTGCTCAGGCATCCTTTGCTCGGGGCGGGGACGAGGATTGCTCCGTTCCGGAGCGTTCCGGAACGCCCTCAGAGCGGTCCGGAACTTTCTGAGAAGGCCGCGGCGCGCGAGGCATCGTCCAGGGCCGCCAGATCTCAGAGACTCCTCGAGTTCTCCTCACCTGAGTTCGTCCTTTCGTCCGACTCCTCCGATCTGCGTTTTTGAGTCCGCGGCCGCCGTGGCCCCGCTGGTCCGGGGGCGGCAAAGAGGGGGGTGATGACGAGGGGGGGGTGGATATCGTGGCGGGGGCCATGATCTTTCCCCAGATTTCATGGCGCCTCTTCTCATTTCATGACGACCCTGGCCCCCCCGCTGGGCCGCGCACATCGCCGCCGGTCATGATTCGCACCCCCCCCCTCTTGGACACCCCCCCTCTTGGCCGCTCCCGACTGCTCCCCCTCCTGGCCCACTCCCCGGGGTACACCTTAGGCGATGCTTAAGAAAACTCAAGTTTTCGGGCAGAGTCTCTATAATTCTTAACGTTTCAATGTAAATCTTGAGATTTGAATGGAAACGGTGGGTTTTTATTCAAGTTCTGAGACTATGAATTTCTTAACCCATGATTTCTTAAGCATTTCGCAGGGTGTAGTCTTGCGCGCCCGGCTCCACGCCTCGGCGGGCCCCCGGGGGGCCCGGCAGAGGCGGGCCACGGGGGCCCGAGGCCGCAGCGAGGAGCTGCTTTTGCGCCAGGTCACTGGCGAGAGCCTGGCTTCACGGAAGGGGCCCAGAGACACACACACACAAACGCACACACACACATAGATAAATACACACGAATCCCAGGGCCCCCCGTAGTTTCGTATATTTTCTGGGTTTCCGCTTCCCCCCCCCCGCTTCCCATATGTTCGTATGTTTCCTTGGGAACCGGCGATGCACTGTGTCTGCGTGTTTTCCCCCTCCCGATTGACGGGTCCTCCCACCCCGACAACCTGACCTTGTCGGTTGTGCAGGTCCGACGGGGGTACCGTCAGCCCCGATAGTAGGGATGGCCGACTTTCCAAGGGCACCCTTGCATCCTTGCCTTGTCATCTTCGGTCCATCCCAAACTGCTTTCGATGGCCAGCCGCGCTCGAAGAGCCTCGGCAGGGGCGTCCAAGGCCCTTGCATCCGTACAGTCGGGGCGCTGAAGAAGGAACCCTTTTCGTTCGGGAGGGGCTCTGTGTTCCTTAATGTTTCGCAGCTCGCCTGAGGCTGTCCTTAGGTTTTCGATACGAAATCGAAGTCTAACTCATTAAAAAAAGGGGCCCCGTTCCTTATTTGGGGTTCCTTAGGTCAACGCCCCGACTGTACCGCGCATCCCTGCCATCTGGGTTCGCCGTGCGCAGCACTGGGGCGCGGCGGGCGTGCGCGGGGCTGCCCGGAGCGAAGAGAAGCTGGACTCTCGGCCAGCGCCTCCCTTCCCGCCACGGGGCAGCCGGAGACATCGCCGAAAAGGGAAGACAACGATTCCAGAGACGCCCAGATGGAACAAAACCACAATGGTCAGAGGTGGATAGACCTCCTATACCCGAACACGTCGATTGATGAATTGGCTGTTTCGGTTCGCGAGAGGGCGTCGCGGCCGTAATTTTTGCGGGTCCGGGTCCGTCGGTTTCGGTCCCAGGCCGTTTTCACTAAGGGGAGGTCTATTAAAGGGAGGTTTGTCCACCGCCGAGAAAAGGAAGACAACGATGTCAGAGACGCCCAGATTGAACAAAACCACAATTGGCGGAGGTCTTCCTGGGGCCAGGGACACATCTGGCAGCACCCGAACAGGATGCACCGATGGGAGTCCCCAGCTTGGCCCGCGACCGGCTGGGGCCAAAAAGGGCACGCATGCGATGAGGGGGCGATGACGGCAACGATGACGATGACGACGACGACGGCGGTGGCGGCGGCGGCGCGCCAGACATGCGATGCGCCATGTTTTTTTTCAATGCGCGGTCCCCAGAAGTCCCGACCCTCTCGCTAGGGCTGGTTCTTCGTCCCGAGTGGTTGTTTGACGGTTCCTTGGCCTGGTGAGGACTCCCAGAGGCCAGAATTTGAGGACCCCCCCGTTCTGATTTATCCAGGACGTTGCATGTCTTGGTGCCCCTTTCTCAAGGAAGGAAAAACACCCCGACCCTGATAATTGGCCTCTGCTGGGCAGCTCTGGGCGTTTACCAGGCAGCCCTGTCCTGTTCGATTCCTGTGTGGGTGCTTTTACTGAGCGGATTTACTTGTCGGGGTGCTTATTATGAGATGATTTTTCTGCTTTCTTCAGGAGGGGAAAAAGCACACAGACACAATGAATCGCCGGTTCCCCAGAAATGTGGGAAAATATGGGAAGTGGGGGGCAAGGCAAACACCCAGAAAATAGATGATGTGGGGAATAATTTTATTGTGTGTATTTATTTGTGTGTCCCACGGCCCCTTCATCTTTACTCTCCCCGGATCGAGGCGGCCCTGCGCGCCTGCGCCGCGGCCCTGCCCAGCGCCGGCGCGGGCACGGGCGCGGGCGAGCCGCAGGCGCTGCTCGCCCCCCTCGCCGAGGGTCTGGCCGCGCTGCGGCGCGGGGACTTCAGGGGTAACACTGGGGCTCGCCATCGCTCGGACGTGTGCGTTTTGTTTGGCAAGGGCCATCGAGGAGCCTATGGGGTCATCTCGCGAAAGGATGCAAGCACGAAGCCGACACATGCACGTGGGAATGAACGTCCCAGGGATGGCAAGAGGGGGGGATAGGCTCAGGGGGAGCAGCAGGATGATATCATGATGCTGATGATGATGATGATGATGATGATGATGATGATGATGATGATGATGATGATGATGATGGTGATGGTGATGGTGATGGTGATGGTGATGGTGATGATGATGCTGATGATGATGATGCTGCTGATGATGATGATGATGATGATGGTGATGATGATGATAATGATAATGGTGATGGTGATGGTGATGGTGATGGTGATGATGAGGATGATGATGATGACGACGATGATGATGATGTTGATGCTGATGCTGGTGGCGATGCTGATGCTGATGATGATGCTGATGCTGATGATGATGATGAGGATGCTGCCAATGATGATGCTGCTGATGATGACGAGGATGATGATAGTGATGGTGACGATGATTATGATGATGATGATGATGGTGATGGTGATGATGACGATGATGATGATGATGATGATGACGTTGACGATGACGGTGATGATGATGATGATGATGATGATGATGATGATGATGATGATGATGATAAGGATGCTGATGATGACGGTGATGATGATGATGATGATGATGATGATGATGATGATGAACATGATGAACATGATGACGGTGATAATGATGCCGATGATGACGATGATGATGGTGGTTGTGGTGTTGATGATTATGATGATGCTGATGATGGTGATGATGATGATCTTGGTGACGATGATGATGATGGTGGTGGTGGTGATGATGATGGTGATGATGTTTATGATGGTGTTGATGATGATGGTGCTGCGGAAATGATGATGCTGATGCTGATGATGATGATTATGATGATGCTGCTGATGATGATGCTGCTGATGATGATACTGATGATGAGTATGATGATTATGATGACGATGCTGATGATTATGATGATGCTGCTGGTGCTGATGATGATGCTGCTGCTGCATGATGACAAGGAGGAGGAGAAGAAAGCGGAGGAGGATGTGGATGAGGATGAGGATGAGGATGCTGATGAGGATCAGGCAGGATAAGGAGGTGGTGGGGGAGGGGGAGGCGGAGGACCAGTGCAAACCCAAGACTCATCAACGATGGTGCAGGAAGCCCTCCCTCCAAGTTCCCTCTTCACAGGTCCTCACACATATGCATTGTCACTGCAGCAATTGCACCGTTGGAAGATAACCGTCTGAAGAGCTGCGTCAATGCCAAAGCACCATTCCTGGGCCTCCGTGCCAGAACACCAGTCTTGGGACTTCAATACCGCACATCACCGTGGCTGTCGCGCCCTGACAATCCTAAATCGTTCTAAAGCATAATCCCTGGGACGTCTGCGATAAGAATGCGTGAAACTAATATTTGTTGTTAACAGTTAAGGCGGCTGTGCTTTGCGCTCAGGCGAGAGCCACATTGTGAAAGCGAGCCGCCCTCCATCCGTGCAACTCTTGCAAACTTGCAAGGCGACTGCGTGCGGCTCCTGTTGCGACAGCCACACTGTGAAGACGACCTGGCCTCCATCCGTGAAGGTCCTGCCAACTTTTAGGGTACGACGAATGTTTCTTTGGCGCTGATGCGAGAGCCAAATCGTGGAACAGCCTCCGTTCGTGAGGCTCTGGCAGCGTTTTTGTTATGAGGACGACCGCGCGCGCGGCGCCTGGGCGAGAGCCGCACTCCGAGAACGAACAAATTTCGCCCTCCGCCCGTGGAGTTCTGGCAGACTTTTGAAGACGAGTGTGCGCGGCGCGTCCTCCTCTTCTTCCTCCTCCTCTCGTCCTTTCGGGGCTGGACAGAACCCCCAACAGTGACACGTCGATTAGTGAATTGTCCGTTTTCGGTTCTCGAGAGGGCGCCGTGGCCGTCATTTTCCAGGCTTGCGCCCGCCAGATTTGGGCCTCAAGTCGTTCTCACTAAACCACGTTTTACTAAAGGGGGGTCTGTCCATCCCCGATCCTTTCCTTCTTCCGTTCTGGCGTGCAACCGCCCCAATTTCCGCCCCGAGTTTCGGCCACGTTCGCAGGACATGCTTTTTCTGCGACTGGCGACCGTGGTCACTGGTGGACGTCATCGGTTGCTCCTCCTTCATTACCATTGTTGCGTGGAAAAATAAAACGAAGGTGCGCGGCGCTTGGGCGAGAGCCACATCCGGAAAACGGCCCGCCCCCCATTTGTGAAACCGTTGCCAATTCTCAGCTTTAGGATCGTAAGTGGTGAGGGGGCCTCAGGCCCACCGCCCGGCCCACCCTGCCGACCCGTCTCGGGGCGCGACAGGGAGGAGTTCTCGAATGGCCTTCGGCCCATCCCGCCACCTTGCCTGGACTGCTGGCCAGGAGTCCTCAGGGATGCTTCATGGGGTCTCCTCGGCGCGCTCTCGGTGGCTTTGGGGGGTTTCTCAGGGGTCGGTTTGGGGACTCCTGGGGCCTCCTGGGGCCTCCTGGGCGTGTCTTCTGGGGGGCCTCTCGGGGACTGTTAGGGGCCTCTTGCGGTCTCTTGGGGCTTCCTGAAAGCTTTTCGGGACCGAGGGCTCGTTCCGACATGCGCGCGCGAGAGGCCCGTTGAGTAGCAAGTGATGAACATGTTGGAAGCCAATGGTTGCCTATAGAATTCGCAATTCCCAGAGCGCAAGTTTTTGTTGGACATCCTTGTTGCAAAACCATATACCGCAATATTATATTACAGTAGCATCGTATCACATTGCAATGTCACAATTCAGTAACGTAGCACTGCATTCTATTAAATTTTCTATTGTATTTTTAATATTTTTCATCTAATTATCGAGAGATGTATATGTGTCGTATGTTATGGTGTTATTTACTCTTTTATTTTGTGTTACATAATGTAATAATATGCCTATAATCTATTATCATCGTATTACATTACGCCTCTGATAGTATACGTTTCGTAATGCACTACACTGTCGTGCATTATAGCATGTTATATTATATCATCGTGTTGAATGTTATATCGTAGGGTATGAAGCGTTTTAGCTCATCTGTTAGTCTATCATGGAGCATTCCATATCATTGTTATATATTGTGCCATGCCATAGTATTCAATCGTATGCCACCTAATATCATGTTAGACTATATTGTAACATATGATAAAGTACGGTGTTGTATTATGCTTTATCATGGTTTGTTGCTTTTTATTGTTTCGTTTCTTATTGTATTGCGAAGGCTTTACGGCCAGTGCCGCCGATCTTGAGAACGACGAAGCTGAACACAAGGAGGGGCAGCGAGAGGAGGATGAGTAGGAGGTGGAGGAAGGGTGGGGGAGGTGGATCAGGGAGGAGGAGGGGGGAGAAGGATGTGGAGGAGAAGCAAGAGGAGGAGAAGGAGGCAGAGGAGAGCAGGAGGAGGGGGAGCAGAGGGGGGGGTGGAGGAGGAGGAGGAGGAGGAGGAGAAGGAGGAGGAGGAGGAGGAGGAGGAGGAGAAAGAGGAGGAGGAAGCCAGAGGCCTTCTTGGCACAGCCAAGGGCTCCCTTGCGGCCGTCTTGGGCCGTCCAGGGCTGCTCTTGCGCCGTCTCGAGGCACTCTTGGGGGCCTCCTGGGCAACTTGGGGCTCTCCTGGGCTGTCTTGAAGCAATCTTGGGGGCCTCTTGGGCCGTCTTGGAGGCGTCTTGGGCCGTCTTGGGGCCCTCTTCGGTAATTAGGGGACCTTTTCGGGGGCCTCTTGGGCCGTCTCGAGGCGGGGGCCTCTTGGGCCGTCTCGAGGCGATCTTGGGGGCCTCTTGGGCCGTTTTGGAGCGTCGTGAAGCGGAAGAGGCAACAACGCCAAAATCTGTTAGAAACGTTTTTGGGAAATCAATGAATTTTGCCTCTTGGGGCTCTCGTGGGAAAGCTCCTGGAGGCCTCTTGGGGCGCTTTGCAGGGCTCTTGGGCCGTCTGGAGGTCGTCAAGGCGTCTTGGACAGATCGTTCGGCGATTCGGGGTTCTCTTGGACTGTCTTTGGGGTCTCTTGGGGCACTCTTGGCCCGTCGACGCTTTTTTGGGCTCCGGGGCTCCCCGGGGGGGCGTCGTATTTGACCCCCGTCCCCCCCGGAACCCCTCCCCGGGACACCCCTGGGACTCCCCATGGAGACTTCCCCCCGGGACCCCCCTGGGACCCCCCCGGGGACCCCCCCGGGGACCCCCTCCCCCCCTTGCGGGGGAGGGATCGAAGGGAATGGGCTCCCCTTCGACTCAATTACGACGTTCCTCCTTCGCTTTGGTTGGCGCGCTGAGGAGGTCCCTGGGAAAGGGGGGAGCTTCGACGAGCCCAGGGAAAGGGGGAGGCAGGGCAAGGGGACGACAGAGACGACGATCAACGAATGACGGAGATGACGACTCGAACGGACAAGCCCGTCACACACGCCGACAGGGTCAGCGGATTTCTGTTGCATTTCATCATGTTGTATCAGATTTTCATATTATATATAGGGGTGTGTATGTGTGTGTGTGTGCTTGTTGTCGGGACACTCGATTTTGAAATTCTTGCGGCACCTAAGGTTCCTGACAGATTTCGGCATGCCCGCGCGATGACGCGCGCGCACTTCGTGTTTTTTTTGTTGGGGGGGGGGAGAAAAAAAAACATCGTTGGCTATTGATAAACGAATGCGCGCGCATATTTGTTTCAGAGGAGGAGGGGGCGATCCTGGCCTGGCTGGCGGTGTATATCTTCAGATATCGGATGGACGACGGGGCAGACTCATATGTATATTTCAATGCGCAAAGGGGAACCGTTAATTGCAGGGGGTGTCGATCCTATCATTATTTTTCAAGTCGAATCTATTCGGCGGCGGCGGCGGGCCTGCTTCGCTGTCGCGAGGGCCCGCGCGCAGCGCGGGCTTGGTTGGCCGTCGCGCCCGGCTCTGGTCCCGGCCACGTGCGACGAGGTGGGACTGGCATTGGGCGGCCGCTGCTGGGCCTGCTGCGCAACCGCGAGGGCGCGCGTGCAGCGTGGGTTTGGTTGGCCGTCGCGTCTGGCTCTGGCCCCATTGCAGCCAGGTGCGACGAGGTGAGACTGCTGTTGAGCGGCCGCTGTGTGCGCAGGGGCCGCGTCGGCGCCGCACTGCGGTTGCTGCGCGCGCTCGGGGGCTGCGGGGTGGGCGGCCAGGGCCTCGGCGGCGCGCTGCCGCGGGCTGGGCGAGAGTTGGCGCTTGGGGGCCCCTGCGTCTGAAGCCAGCATGGGCGCCGGGGCGGCGGTGGGCTGGGGGGCCCGCGGCGGGCGGGCGACGTTGGGCCATGCGTCGTTGGCACCCGGGCTAGGCGGTGAATCGCTCCGTGGCGCAGCGGCCCGAGTTGGCGCGGCACCGCTTGCGGCCCCTAGTCAGTCGTGGCCGAGCCAGCAGGCGTTCCCGTATTTGCACTCCTTGCCGTTGCGGATGTACCAGCACCATTCGCCCTTTGCCGTGCGCCTGGCTGGCTCAGCGGCGGCCCGAGGTTTGCCCTTGCCCTGGCAGCTGGCTGCGGCGGCGTCCCGCTCGCGGCGCTCGCCGCGAGAAAGGCGGGGGCGCTTGCGCAGGCTCTCGCTGGTGCCGTTGTTGAAGGCCTCTGCTAAGTCAGCGAAGCCGAAAGTTGGCTTGTTGGCCTGGCGTGGCGCGAACGCGAGCGCGAGCCGCCCGTCGAGCTCGTCGGCGTCTGCCGGCAGAGAGCCGAGGATGACGTCGTCGAGCTTGTCGGCGCCGCGACTGGCCTTCGACCGCTGGCCGTGGAAGAGGCGCAGCGTGCTGCACTTCGGTGAGCGAGAGTGGGTGGTAGCCCCGGATGGGCTGCTTTGGTGCGCCGGACGCGACTCCAGAAGCGCTCATAGACGGTTGCCAGGTACACCTTAGGCGATGCTTAAGAAAACCTAAGTTTTCGTCCAGAGTCTCGATTATTCTTAACGTTTAATGTAAATCCCAAGATTTTGATAGAAGTTCTGGGTTTTATTCCATTTCTGAGACTATGAATTTCTTAACCCATGATTTCTTAAGCATTTCGCAGGGTGTACTCGATGTCCTTGACCCAGCCGCAGAGGAAGAGCAGGTTCTCAATGAGAAACGCCTCCTCGAGCTCGATGGGGCCACCGGCTCGCGCCTCCGCGATCGGGGGCAGACGCGTGACGCCGGGCGAGGATGCTCCGACGCCAGGCTTGAATGCGGCCGCTGCGGGCCAGGCGCGCGCTGCTGCTTCGGACTGGATCTTCGTGGCCGTGGCTGCCTCGAACTCGCGGTTCGCCCCGCGGAGGCGCCCCCATCGGCCCCGCGCGCGCGGGCGGGGGCTTGGCTGTGCCCACTTCGCAGCGGCGCGCCCTGTTCAGCGCGTGGGGCCTCCGTGTGCTGTGGGTTGAGTCCGTAATATGATGCCGCTGTCGCGTCGCGCGCCTCCAGCGGCGTGGCCTCGGGCGCCTTCGCGAGCTGGTCCGCCGCGTCGCTGGCCTGGTAGCACCTATCGCAAAATGACGGACTTTCGCCCAGGCAGCGGTGAACGGTTTGACCGACTCGCAGGACGCTGCGATGGTTTCGAGGAAAATGCCGTCGACGGCCGACGGGCTTCGCAATGACAGCGCCATTCTCGCCCTTGAGGTCTTGCGGCGCACTCTATACTGGCGCCTGGCGTTCCTGCTCTGGAAGCCTAGCGCGAGCCTTGCAGACCTCGCGCGGCGCTGCGTCGGCGAACCCGAGGGAGAACGTTGTCCCAGACGGCGCTGGGGGTCGTGAAGTCAATATTGGTGACCTTCCCGCGCTCGCAACTGACCGTGTCCTTGCTGGCCTTCATGCCGTTGGCGCCCGCGAGCGTGGCGATGTGCGCGTGCTTCCTGCGCGCCGCCCTCTGGTCCGTCGGCGCGTGGCCGCGCCGGTCGGGGCCTGGCCTTGGCGGGGGCCGCGGCGCATGGACCAGGGGCGGCGCTGGCTGCGCCGCGGCCCTGGTGGGGGCCGCGGCGCGCGGCGGGCGGCTCGGCGGGGGCTCGGCCCTGGCGGTGGCTGGGGCGGCGCGGTCGCCCTAGGCCGCGGCGGTTTCCCCGGCGTGGCTGGGCTGCTGTGCGGTGCCGGCCCTGGCGCTGGCCAGGGGTCCCGCGCGCTGCGGCGCGTGGGCGCGTGGCGGCGTTCGCCGGCCCCGCAGTCGGGGCGGCATCAGCAAGGGGCAGTGCCAGACTGGGCGCGGGCCGCTCCGCCAGCAAGTGGCCATGGTGCGGCCCCGCTTTCCACTGCGTGCTGGCCGGGGCGTCTGGGCCGAACTCGCCCTGGGACAACACGTTGCCAGATCTCCAAGGGTCTTGCCAGCCGCGGACCAGCGTTACCCAGATAAGAGGCGGACGAGGCGGAGGAGGTGGAGGAGGAGGAGGCGGAGGAACCTACATGCTTTGGCGCACACAGGCGATCGATGCGCCGGTGGCGCGGACGCACCCTGGCGGGTGGACTCCGCGGCCGCCGTTACCGTTACCCTCCCGCCCGATTCCCATCCCCCTTGGGTAGCGACCGTTGCCCGTGAGAGAAAAGAAACGGGGAGGAGGAGGAGGAGGAGGAGGAGGAGGAGGAGGAGGAGGAGCAGGAGCAGGAGAAGGAGGCGGGTAAGTAGAGGGTCGCCGCATGAGTAATATAAGTGAGGGGCGGTTTGCCTGCGGCTCGAATGGCGGTCTTGGTTGTTCCATGCCGGTGTGGTCAGCGGCAGGACCCCTCTGGGACTCAGGGGCAACTCGGGGGGGGATAGGCTCAGGGCGGAATGCCTCGACCCCCAATCTCCCGTTCATCGCTGATCCCTCGGCGACGTTTCTGGGCGTTTTCGTTGGCTGTCGGCGGTTCTCCAGCTTCGGATGCCTTGCAGCAGCTGCGCCTCGCCGAGAGCGATCCAGGGGTGCCAGAATTCTCCCGAACGGCCGCGGCGGAACCGAGTTATGGCCCGCAAGCGATCGCAAGCGAGTGGGCAACGTCAGGGGGGACAGGCTCAGGGGGATGCGCATCGACCCCCCGCTGCCCATTCATCGCTGATGGAGGTCTCCTGGCCCAACCCGCCCAGGAGCGTCCGGATCCGCAATCGGGGATCTGTCGCCGATCCATCGGCGATGATTCGCCAACTCCAGGTAGGTGTTCCCTCCCTGAGCCAGTCTGCCCGCAGGGGTTTGCACACGCTTTGTTCGTCGCGGGGCTTTGCACAGGGCGTGCTCTGCAGCAGCAGGTCGAGCGAAGATCGGGGAGGGGTCGAGGGACGAGGTTGGAGTTTTTGGACGTCGGAGGGACGAGGAATCGGAGGAGGAGGAGGACGAGGAGGAGGAGGAGGAGGAGGAGGAGGAGGAGGAGGAGGGGGAGGGGGAGGAGGAGGAGGAGGAGGGAGTGATCGAGAGCCAGTCCCCCTGGTAACTTTCCTCCGCAGGACTCCTCCGCGGGCCGCTTCGAGTGGGCGGACGGCCCGCTCGTCCGGGCCGTGCAAGAGGGACCGCGCACCACCGCCGCCGCCGCGGACTCAGAGGAGGAAGCGGTACCCAGGCATGCACCGTCCTGAAAGCATCAGGATTGTTTATAGAAAGATCTAAAAGCAACTATGGTTACTCATTAACACATACATGTATATGTATATGTACGTATGTCTGTATATACATCAGTATGTCTGTATGTGTATCTATAGGCCTTTTTGGGCCTTTGCTGGGCCCCGGCATGAGAAACCGGCCCTTGGGAAATCTTGGGACTCCCGAGGACCGCGTATTGAACACTGGAAGGAGCATGTCTGGGTACCGATCCCGCTGCGTTTGCCCCGTTTCGCCTTGTTTGGCCTCCTGGGAGGTCCTCGTCGCCACGGCTGGATTGGCCTCGAAATCCTGGTTAGAATGCACCGCCGGAGAGGTCCTGGGAGTAGCGGCATCGGTATCTTTGGGTTCCCCCCAGGGTCGGCTCCGTGAGGGAAGTTTGCCCGGGATCACCGAGCGCGTTCCACTACGGTCTGCCTGATCGGGGGCGGCCAAGAGGGGGGTGATGGCTAGGGGGTTGAATATCATGGCGTGGGCCATGATTTTTCCTCAGATCTCATGGCGCCTCTTCTTATTTCATGATGTCCTTGGCCCCCCCCTGGGGCCGCGCACATGCTGCTGGCCATGATTTGCGCCCCCTCCTCTTGGACCCCCCCCTCTTGGCCGCCCCCGACCCGAAGTATGAGATCGAGGTCGGCTCGGCGAGGATACCCGAGTGTTCTTCGTACTTGTCGTGCGTTCGTGTGCATCCTGGGGAAGGGTACCCTCGGCGATCTTGTGGTTCGGGGTGTTTTGGCCGGCGGAGGGTCTCATGAAGGATGTTCTTCTGTCCTTGGTCTGGCTGTGCTCGCAAAGTGCCTACTCGCAAACGCCCGAAAGACACATGCTTGCCTCGACGTCATTGATCGTGCGCCCCCCGCGGCGGATGCAGGCCATTTACTAGCAGCTACTCTGCGAGTAGTGGGACGCGCTGGTCTACAGGATTGGGCCCCAGCAGGGGCCCCCGACGGATTTTGATCGGATCTCGGCTGCGTGCTTGTCGTCATCGTCGTCGTCGTGGCCGCCGTCGCCGCTTCGAGGGGGTGGGCGGCCCAGTTGTCTGGGCGGTGCAAGTCGGACCGGCCTGTGGGGTCCTTCTCCCTCCTCCGTCCTTTTTCTGCCCCTCGCTCACTGATATCTCCTCCTCCCTCTTACCCCTCCACTCCTCGCTCCTCTCCTCTCCTTCCTCCCGAATGCCCGGGGGGCTTACGCCGTTCCGCCGACCTCCAGAAGAGGAGGTGCGTGGTTCCCGATTCTGTCTGTGCTGTCTGCCGCTTCCCGTCGTGACGCCCGCGTGCAGCTGCCGGTGCGGACTCGCCCTCCTCTTCTTTTCATTGCCCGTCGCTCCCTCCCGGCCCCCACTCCTCGCTCCTCTTCCCTCCTCCTGTTTGCTCCCCCTACCTCCTGCTCCTGATCTCTGCCCTCCTCCTCCGCTCTGGAGGAGGAGGAAGAGGGAGAGGATGGAGATGGAGGAGGAGGAGGAGGAGGAGGAGGACGAGAAGGAGGCTGAGGGGGGGGGAGGGAGGATAGGCAGGACGACTGCTGTCATCGTCTTCTTTTTCGTCGTCTTCGTCGTCGTCGTCTCTGCCGCCGCCGCCGCCGCCGACGCTGTCGGGGTCGCCGTTGCCGTTGAGGCGGGGAAAGGGGAGGATGAAGGAGGGGGGAGGCTGGAGAGATGTCAAAGATGCTCAGGCCATTCCGCCGACCCAGGAAGGTAATTGGGGCCAAGATGTGGGCTGCACGGGGTGCCTCAGTATGGTGAAGAGATGGAGGCCGACCAAGGGCGAGGTGATGCCCAGGAGGGGCGCAGGCGCAAGAGGGACGAGGGAGAGCAGGCAGGATGTATGGGAGTGTGCTCTGATGCCTGTGTGTGTGTATTTGCTTTCGAATACAGCGAGCCCCTGGATCATCCTTTCTGGCTCGAGTGAAGGGATGATGGTGGTGCTGCTACTGATGATCCATGACGGCGACGATGACGACGGTCAGGACGAGGACTCGGAGCAGGAGGACGAGGAGGAACAGTAGGAAGACGAAGCTGCGGGTGACGACGGCGAGCGCTGCACGGCGCGCGGGCTCGTGGCGCCGCGCGGGTGCCTGGGGGAGCCTTTTGGGGCCGTGTCTCCGGCGGCCGCCTCGGCGAGCGGCATGCGTGCTTTTGTGCGGTGCGGAGAGGCCCGCTTGCAGAGCACCCCACTTAGCAGAGGGTGAGAGTGGCGCGCCCTCCATGTACACCTTAGGCGATGCTTAAGAAAACTTAAGTTTTCGGCCAGAGTCTCGATTATTCTTAACGTTTCAATGTAAATCCCAAGAGTTTGATAGAAATGCTGGGTTTTTGTTCAAGTTCTGAGACTACGAATTTCTTAACCCATGATTTCTAAAGCATTTCGCAAGGTGTACATCGCCGGCGATGTGTATCGCCAAACCCCCCATTGACGCTCCCCCCCCCCCTGAGCCGGCCCTCCGGCCCTCCTCCCTCGTTTCCCCTCGGAGTCGGGTTGACGTCGGGGGCCCATTGGATCGATCCGGCTCGATGCCGGGTTCACTCGGCTCGGTCCGGCCCGATCTCAGTGAACTGGTAAAAAGCCTGCAGCAGCCCAGCACAGGTCCCAAGCAACCCCCCAGGGCCTTGAGGGCTCCTCCGGGTGTTCCTCCTCCGCTCTTCCGCCTCTCCCCCCCCCCGCCTCGACGACGACGATGACAACGGCGTCGTCGTCGTCGTCGAGGCGCTGTCTCTTCAAAACGAGAACGCGACACGACTGGATGGTCGGGGATAGCCACGCAGCACACACCAGCAACACACATCACACATCACACACCAGCAACAAACATCGCACAGCACACGTATCAAACTTCGCTGGTGTGTGTGCTGTGTCTATGTCGCAGGGTGATGTCAATCACAACGACGACGACGATGATCATGACGACGACGATGTCGACGACGATGACGACGATGCGGACGACGATGACGATGGCGATGACGATGGCGACGACGGTCATGGTGAGGATGACGATCACGACGACGACGACGACGACGACGACGACGACGACGACGACGACGACGACGACGACGACGACGACGACGACGACTGGGGGCCCAGTTGTACCAAACAACGTCTGCATCTGTGTGTGTGCGTGTTTCTGTGCCACAGCTCAAGGTCCGTATGCGTTTTTTCCTCCGATATCACAGGGATTCCATGAGCACCGCCGCGCTGCATCAGAAAGGACAAGAGCCCAGCGAATCCGAACTCCTTACAGTTGTGTGTTGTTCTGGATGTGCTATAAGGTTCTTGTGTTTCTTTCTGCTTGTTGGTGTGTTTTTGCTGACTGTGTATTACTTCTAGTGTTTTTTTTCAGATGCTGTTGTAGTTGTTTGTTTATTTTGGGGTGTGCTTCCACGTGTTTTGTTGGTCTGTATTGTTTTCGATGTTTTGTTGTGTGTGTGTGTGCGTGCGTGTGTTTGTTGTTATTTTCCTGGTTGTTTTTAGTTCTTCCCTGGGTGTTTGATATATTCTCCTTGTCTTCGGTCTTTCCTTAAACACGTGTTTTGTCATCGGTTTATTGATTTGTTGAAGTGGGTTTCATGTTTCTGCAACTTCTACAATGTTGACAGCTGTGTTGGGTATTTTTGGTCGGTGAATGGTCGGTGAGTGGTCGGTGGGTGGTCGGTGGGTGGTCGGTGGGTGGTCGGTGGGTGGTCGGGGGGTGGTCGTTGGGTGGTCGGTGGGGGCCATCCACCGACCAACAAAAACCAGAACGGTTGACAAACTTGTGGAAGCATGCAGAAATATAAACCCGCATCAAAAATCAATGGAACCATGAAACCCCGCATTCTGCACATTAGAGCAGCAAGCACAATTAAACATGAGCAAGAACTACAGAACACATCCAACGCAGCCATCAAACGAACAACAACCACAAGCAGCAGCAAGACCAACCCAAAACACAGTAATACAACCAACAGCAGCACCACAAGCACCGAAGCACACCCAACATCAACACACAGCCACACCATCTGATAAAACCAACAGACACCGCAATTAGCAACTAAAGCATCAACGCACACGAGCAAGCAACAAACAACACCTACATCTTACAGCACAGCAGAAATCATACAGCTGTTGTATTCCCGGGTATGCTGGGTTGTTTTATTGTCTGTTGCAGCACGACGGTGCCCATGTAATAGTTGTGATATCGGAGGGAAAATCGCACACGGATCTTGAGCCGTGGCACAGAAATGCAGATACACATGACAAGTTTGTTTGGCACAATTGGGCCCCCAGTCGTCGTCGTCGTCGTCATCGTCGTCGTCGTCGTCGTCGTCGTCGCGTCGTCGCCGCCGCCGCCGTCGCCGTCGTCGTGGACGGTCGTCGTCGTCGTCGTCGTCGTGATCGTCATCCTCACCATGACCGTCGTCGCCATCGTCATCGCCATCGTCATCGTCGTCCGCATCGTTGTCGTCATCGTCGTCGATATCGTCGTCGTCGTCGTTATACTCGTTGTCGTCGTCGTTGTGGTCATCATCATCATCATCATCATCATCATCATCATCATCATCATCATCATCATCATCATCATCATCAGCACCATCATCATACTCATCATCATCATCATCATCATCATCATCATCATCATCAGCATCATCATCATCATGATCATCATCATCATAAGCGTAACAAGACGCAACACACACCAGCAACGTTTGCTTTGTGTGAGCTGTGTGATTTTGTTGCAGGCGTGTGACAAGCGTTTTTTGTTGCTGATGTGTGCTGCGTGATTGTTCTCAACCATCCTGTCATGTTGGGCTCTCGTTTTGAAGACAAAAGCACCCCGCGTCCTCTCCTCTCCTCGTCCGCCTCCCCCTCTCACCGCCTCCTTGCCTGTGCCCACCGCGTGTCGCGACCACGGTGGGCAGTCGGAGGAGGAACAGACCACGAGAACACCGTTTGGAAATCTTGGGGCCACGAGCTTCGCATTCTCGGCGGCCTCGGGCCCAGAAGGGGGCTCCGGCTGGGGCGTCCCGCCCTGTCGCGGGCCTTTTTCGCAAGGAGCGCCCACGGAGCGGACCGGACGTGGGCGCAGGGCTCTCCGCGAGAGGGAGCCGCCGGGAGGGCCGAGGCCGCTCGGTCCGATGCGCGCTCAGCAGGAGGGAAAGAAACACACAGACACAATTAATCGTCGATTCCCCAGAAAATATAGGAAAATATGGGAAGTGGTGGGGAAGACAGAATCCCAGAAAATATAAGAAAATACGGGGAATCCTTTTATTTGTGTGTATGTATTTGTGTGTCTTGGGGCCCCTTCAGCTCCGTGCCCTGGCGACCTGGTGCGGCCTACACCGCGCAGCTGTGCACCTGGCATCCGGGGGCGGCCGATCCGCTGCGATGCCAGCTCCGCGCCGATGCGGCCCGATCCGACGCACAGTCCGATCCGATCCGATCTCCCGCCTCACTTCCCCTCGCCCCATACATACATCCAGCGCTCCAGTGTCTTCGATGCGTGGATCCCCAGAGGTCTGGACAACTGCCCAAGTCCGTTCTTTCGTCCAGGGTCGCCCCAGGAGGCCGAAAGTGGACCCAAACTGGCCGCTCCAACTTCTTCGAAGCCTCGGATCCGTGGGTCACTTCCCTGCGCCCCCCGCCAAAGGAGGGGTTGGCATCCGTACTCGTGCAGAGTGGTCCTGGCCCACGCGTGTCTTGCCCCTTCCTGTTCAGGCGGAGTGCGACGCGTTCTGTGAGAGAGTCTTTCGAATGCGCGCCGTGCGGCATCTCGTGGGAGCGCGCCCGCTCTCTCAAGGACGGCCATAGCATTCAGTGTACTGCCAGAGAAGCACGCCCGGAGAGCCTGGCGGCTGCAGTCGTCAAGCGTGCCGTTCGAGAGCGCGCCCGAGTGCCAGGCATCGTCCAGTGCTTTGCAGCTGATGGTTCTCGGGGGAAAACCAAACGACTGCCCAGGGCGCTGGGGCCACCATCCTCGGCTGGGCGCTCCGCTTGGGTCGACGACGACAACGGCGGCGGCCGCGGTGGCGGCGACCGGCACTGACGACGACGACGATGGCGACGACGACGACGACGACGACGACGACGACGACGACGACGACGACGACGACGACGACGACGACGACGACGACGACGACGACGACGACGACGACGACGACGACGACGACGACGACGACGACGACGACGACGACGACGACGACGACTACGACTACGACGACTACGACGACGACGACGACGACGACGATGACGACGACGACGACGACGCCGCCCAGGGCGCTGGGCCCTGCTGTCCCACGCCGAGCAAGCGGCCCCCGCGGTGCTCGACCGCGTGGGGCTCGGCGCGCGGCCCTCGCCCGCGGCCGGCCGGGTGTCCTCGCGGAGGCCCTCGGCCCCGAGAGGCCCTCGAGAGGCCCTCGGTGGCCGCTATCAAGCAGGGGCGAGGCGTCCTGGCTCGCCTGTAGGCCTGCCAAAGAATGTCATGAACAATTCATTTCTTGGTGGTTTGAGCGAAATGTTCTGAGAACATTCCGTTGTTGGGACTGTCTTGTTTCAACAGATCGGTATTTCCAAGAACAGTGTTTTCGTGCTTAGAACATTTCGGGGTTCTAAGAACCTTTCGTGGTAGGTCTCTAGGAATGCCGGGACGGTCGGTCCCTGCTCAACTCCTAGAGGCCTCACCCAGACGTCGTCATCGTCGTCGTCGTTGTCGTGGTCGTGGTCGTGGCCGTCGCCGTCGCCGTCGTGGTCGTGGTCGTGGTCGTGGTCGCCGTCGTGGTCGTGGTCGTGGTCGCGGTCGTGGTCGTGGTCTTGGTCGTGGTCCTCGTGGTCGGTCGTGGTCGGTCTTCGTCGTCGTCGTCGTCGTCGTCGTCGCCGTCGCCGTCGTCTTCGTCCCGGAGGCCTCGTTGTGGTGGTCGCCGTCGGCGCCCCGAGAGGCCCACGCCGCAGCCGCATGCCGGGGAGGTCCCCCGGAGGTCGCCCACGCTCCTCTCACGAGGAAGGCCTTCCCAGACATGCAACGTCCTGGCAGATCTCCGCTCTCGGCCTCTGGGGGGCCCTGGCAGGGCCCCGGGAAAAGTCAAACATCGGGAGCCTTGAGACGGGGGTCAATGCAAACGGGCGCCAGATCTTGCAGGATCCTGCAGGGCCAGGGTCGCATTGACCCGGGTTTGGGTGCAGGATCCTGCAGGATATTGCAGGATCCTTCGCATTGACCCGGGTTTGGGTGCAGGATCTTCTTGCAGGCCTGATTGACCCGGGTCTGGATTGACCCGGGTCAGGAGATCCCCGAACCTGGGATGAAAAGTGGGCCCTAGGGAAAGGGGTCGGGACGTCGAGGGACCGCGTGCTGAGAAACCAGCAAGAATAGGAGAACCCCTCACCCTAGTACAGCACAATGAAGACGTATATAGCCTATGTTAGGTCCCCGTGCTTTCACTAGGGATAATGAATCTGGGTGGTTTGGTCTGCTGCACCTGCAGAGAAGGTCCCCTATCCCTGCTCTGGGTTTCTTAATGAGCGCGGGGGGGTACCCCCCCGACGGGGGTCAATCTCGCTTCGTCGTCGCGCCGCGACGGGGGTCGGAGCGCCTTCGGCGCGCGGTGGCTGAGCCGCCCCCCCGACGCTTGTGAAGAGACTCGGAGTAATGTTGCGGGCCCCTTCATTAGTTCCGCTCCCAGAGGGTTGAGGGTCCTTGATTTGCTCATCCAGACGAGCAAGACGTCGCATGCCCTCGGCGGCCCCCAGAGGCTTCCGGGCGGCCCCCAGAGGCTTCCGGGCGGCCACCGGCGGCCTTGCTGGCGGCCCCGCTGGGGCCTGGCGCCCGAACGTGCGCCCTTCTCCCGCAGCCCGGCCCCAGTCGCGACACCCGCTCCGGCACGTCTGCCTCGTATCGGCGGCGAGACGGGGGGGACGAGAGAAGGGGCGAGTCTTAAGTCGGGCGTGCCCCTCTACAGGAGGAATATTCAAAAATAGTTAAAACAAAAACGCCAGGGGACATTTTTCTACTATCTTTTTACATTTTTTTCGGGGGAGAGGGTATTTCTGATGTTTCGTCCAACATCCGCATGTATGGGGGACATGCCCGACCTATGGCGAGCCTTCTTAGAAGGCTCGGAAGTCCCTTGGCCTTCTAAGAAGTTTCCTGAGCCTTCCCCGAAGACACAGAACAGAAACTGTTCGAGCGCTTCTGAGAAGCCCCGCCGCCTTCTGAGAAGGACTTCTCCTTCTAACTTCCCCCCCTCGCTCGTGTCCGATCGTAGTTAGCCGACGTAGTCGGGGGTGTCATTTAGGCTAGTCATCCACTTGGGACGCATAGTATTAGTGCAGCTTGCACGGGGATTCAAAGCAATCCTAGCTATGTTCTTGGTGCTGCGGCTCTCTACTTTGAAGTGCTCTTGTTTTTCGGATATCTCGACGGGGCCTTGGGCGTTCGGCGAACGAGCTCATGGTCTGGACCCCCGCTCTTGCGGCCGTGTTTCGACCGGTCCTTCTCTCTGCGCACCGCGCGGGCCCGCGCCGTGTAAACGTCGCAGCATCGGAGGCCTGGGGATGTGCGGCTGCGCTGCCGCTGGGACCAGTGGCTGTGCCAGCCGTGTCGGAGTCGAGGTCGAGCGAGCGGGAACGGATCCGTATTCGAGGCAGTCCGGGCGTCCAAACAGCGGCTGCTCGTCGTTTTTGGGCTGTGGAGGCCTGTTTCGGGCCCCGGGGCCGTCAAACAACAACTTCGGATGATAAGCCGGCCCTGGACGAAGGGGTCGAGAGGTCTGGAGGACCGCGCAACGAAAGAGTCGAAGCGTCGGTTTTTTGGGGGCAGCCACGGCCGCGACCCCAGGGACACAGAGCGGCTTTGCGCGGGTGTCCCGCACGGGAGTTGCCCACGGGATCGCGGGTGCACACTCTGTGTTCCTGTATGCTTCGAAAGTCCAGGGTTCGCTGGGGACTGGCTTGCACTCAAAGCGATCGGGGGTGGACAGAACCCCCACCCTGACACGTCGATTAGTGAATTGTCCGTTCTCGGTTCTCGAAAGGGCGACGCGGCCGTCATTTTCCGGGCTTGCGCCCGCCAGGTTTAGGCCCGAGGTCGTTTTCATTAAACCACGTTTTGCTAAAGGGGGTTTTGTCCATCCCCGAATGTAGCTGTGTATTCCTGTATGCTTAGGAAGTCCAGGTTTCGCTGGGATGGCTTAAATGCATAGCGACCCAAACCCTGTTGAAACCCTCTTGGAAGCCCGCGAAAAGCCCTCCATAACCTTTTTGATGGGAGGGCTTTCGGAAGGTTTCGGGAAGGTTTCGGTCGGGTTTGGGGGAAAACAGTCCCTAGCGAACCCCAGACTTTCTGACTCTGTGCCTTCCCCCTCCTTTGCCCCCCCCTCTTCCCCCTCCCGCCCTGTCTCCGCATCTGTGTGACGATATTGCTGTGTTGGTGTTGATGGACGAGGCGGCCGCCACTGTGTATCAGGACAGGGCTGGCCCTAAACGCTGTTTTGCTGGACTTCGGCTGCATTTTGTTTTCGCTTTTGGCAGGGAAGTGCAGAAAACAGGTAGAGCAAAACGAACAACAAAACGACAACAAGACGGACCACAACGTTTAGGTCCAGCCCTGTGTCAGGAGTGGCCGTGGCGCATCGAGCCTGCACGAAACCACTGCGTCTTCGGGTGGCCTGCCCCTCCCGTGGTGATGGTGGGTGCGCGATGCTTTTCCAATAGGCGATGGTCTGCGCGTGTGTGTATGTGTGTGTTAACGCGGGCCGGTGGGATCTCCTCGACGAGGAGGAGGAGGAGGAGGAGGAGGAGGAGGAGGAGGAGGAGGAGGAGGAGGAGCTGGCGCTCGAGCTCCTTCTCGACACGGGCCGAAACACTACGGAGGGGAAGGGGCAGCAGCATCGTTCTGACGCTCCCCTGCGTCTGTGCCCTCCTTGCTCTCACGTCTCTCGTCGAAGGAGCCCGCGCGGACTTCCGAGAAACTATGGTCGTGCAGTTCTTTCTTCGTTTGCTGCGATCCTTTCCTCCAGAGAGGCAGACCCCCGAAATTCAACCCAGAAGGCTCTACAGACCCAAAGCGTCTCTGGGAGCTTGCAGGTCTGCTTTTGAGAGAGGTGAATGCAGGGTGCTCGAGCCTTCCCAGTCTGGGCTGCTGTTCCGTGTTGCCTGCCATCCCAGGGGCGAGACGTACCGTATCGTATCCTCTCCTCGCTCCCGCTGTTCCCCCCCCTACCCCTCCTTGCGCCCTCCGCCACCTCCCTCTCGCTGCTCCTGGCTGCGCCGGCGGGTTGGCGTCAGCTCTCTCACCCAGGTTCAGGAGGGAAAAAAACACACAGACACAATTCATCGTCGACTCCCCAGAAAGATATGGGAAGATATGGGAAGTGGGGGGGGAAGACAAAGACCCATAACAGATGGAAAAATACAGGGGATTCTTCTATGTGTGCCTAACTGTTTGTTTGTGTGTCCCAGGGCCCCTTCACAGGCGTGGCCCGGGCCGCCTTCGCTCGTGGGACCGCTCCTGCGTCGCGTCGACGCGGCGGCGAACCCGCCGCGGGCGTTCCGGGCCGCAGGCCAGCAGGGGCGCGGAAGCGGCCGGTACGGCACCGCCTGGGATCGGACCCCCGCCGATCCGCGCGGCGTCGAAAGAGCTGGCGCCAGGGCCGCCAGGGCCGCGAAGAGCCGCGTCGTCTTCCGCCTGGAATCCCCGCTACCGTCGGGGCGCTGAAGAAGGAACCCTTTTCGTTGGGGAGGGGCTCCGTGTTCCTTGATTGTTTCACAGCTTGCCTTAGGTTTTCGATGGGAAATCGCACTTTAACTGATGGGGAAAAGGGGCCTCGTTCCTTATCTAGGGTTCCTTAAGTCAACGCCCCGACTGTACCGCTGTTGCCGCTCCCTCCGATGCCTGCCCTCAGGTCTGAACTCTCTGCTCGAGCCCGGCGGCTTCCTCCTGCTGACCGAGTCGGGCGAGGACGGCCTCGAGCCGCCATGCGGCTCTCTCTCTCTCTCTCTCTCTTCGCACTGGCATCCCCAGCAGCCGTAGATTCAGGATGAGGTCAGAGGGGGAGGAGGAGGAGGAGGAGGAGGAGGAGGAGGAGGAGGAGGAGGAGGAGTGAGGAGGAGGAGGAGGAGGCGGAGAGGAGGAGGAGGAGGAGGAGGAGAGGAGGAGGGGGAGGAGGAGGAGGAGGAGGAGGAGGAGGAGGAGGAGGAGGAGGAGGAGGAGGAGGAGGAGGTGGCCTCAGCTGTGCTGCTCGCTAGTGTTCACAGAACCTGGTCCGCATGGGAAATGAGAAATGGGAGGAGGAGGAGGAGGAGGAGGAGGAGGAGGAGGAGGAGGACTTGGTACTTCAAAGGCCGGGCAGCAAGGTAGCTCCGCACGCGGATGCGGCATCGCACGCTATGCGCGCACTTGACCGCGCATCGGCGCGCGCTCGGACGCGCGCGCGCGCGCGGACGTGCGCGTACGCGCCCGGGCGCGCGAGCAAGCGTGGGCGCGGCGGGCGGTGGCGGGCGAACACCCGCCCGCTCCCCTCCGCACGGGCTCGTGTCTGCGCGCGCTGGGGAAGCTTCGAAGGAGCTCGGCCACGCGCAGAGGGGGGTAGGATCAAGTCGGGCGTGTCCCTCTACAGGAGAATGTTCAAACATAGTCAAACATGGAACGGGGACGATTTGTTCACTTCCGTTGTTCCAAATGTTTCTGAGTTTTTTTTTAATTTTGTTCCTCCAGAATCCGCCTGTAGGAGGAGATGCCCGACCGAAGGGTAGGGGAGGGGGGATAGCTTCGTAGAATCACCCTTGTTTCCCCAGCAGCCTGCGGAGCTGCCCTGGCGTTGCCCACGAGCCTCGGAGAAGCGTTGCCCAGGAGCTGCCCAGAAGCTGCGCATCGAGCCTGGGAGCCGCTGCGAAGGCGCTGCGCAGAGGCTTTACAGCACATGTGTTGGGAATGAGGAGGAGGAGGAGGAGGAGGAGGAGGAGGAGGAGGAGGAGGAGGAGGAGGAGGAGGAGGAGGAGGAGAGGAGGAGGAGGAGGAGGAGGAGGAGGAGGAGGAGGAGGAGGAGGAGGAGGGAGGAGGAGGAGAGGAGAGGGGGAGAAGGAGGAGGGGGGGAGGGGGAGGGGGAGGGGGAGGGGGAGGGGGAGGAGGAGGAGGAGCAAGCAAGTCGTTGCGACGCTGCTTGACCGGCAGCTGTGGAGAGGAACCTGGCCCAGCCTTGCCTGCCGCCTTCTTCTCTCGAGCTTTGCCTCGCTCTCCAAGGAGCCATCCTGGAATCGTCGAATGCGCCTACGGCGAATCACCGCCGCCCCCTTCTTTTCGGAAGAGGCTGTGTGGCCGAACGTTGCGGCCAGAGCACGGCCGAGCCATCGGACTACGTGCTCCCCACCAGCCGTTGTGCAAATCCTTCGGAGAACCCGTGGGGGAGAAAGAAGAAAAGGATGAGGGAGGAAAAGAGGAGGAGAGGGACGAGGAGGAGGAGGAGGAGTAGGAGGCCTCTTGGGAGCCTCTGGGGGCACTCTTGTGTCCTTCTGGGAGCTTCTGGGGGGGCCCTTGGAGGCCCCTTGGGGGCTTCCTTGGCGTCTCGGGGGCTCTTGGGAGGCTCCTTGGGAGACTCTTTGGGTATCTGAGGGCGTTCCCGGCCCGTCTGACGCCGTCTTGCGGGCCTCTCTGTGCCAACTTGCGGTCCTCTTGGGCCCTTCAGGGCCGTCTTGCAGACCATCTTGGGCGTCTTGGAGGTCTCCTGGGCCGTCTTGGGGCCCTGTTGGGGCAGTCATTGTAGCCTCTTGGGTCGTCCGGGTGTCACCTCGGAGGCCTCTTAGGCGCTCTGGGGGCCATTTTGGTGGCCTCTGGGGCTGTCGTGGGCCGTGGGAAAGCCCAAACCCTTTAATATTTTTTGTATGTTTGGCAAAATCAATGTGGCTTCTGCGGGCCTTCCTGGAGGTCCTCTTGGACCGTCTTGGAGGCCTCTTGGGCCGTCTTTGGCGATCTTGAGGCCATCTTGGGCCGTCTTTCTGGCATCTCGGCCCGTCTTGGAGACATCTTGGGACCATCTTTGGGGCCATCTGGGGCAATCTTAGCCGTCTTGGAGGCACATCGGTGGCCATCTTGGGCCAGCTTGGCCGTCTCGGGACGATCTCTGTGCACGCTGAAGTGTCTGGGTGGCCGGCGGCTGGGGCCGAAGGTCCCTCGGGAACCTTTCAAACAACCAAATACTGCCTTTAAAACGGGCCTGTACCTCCACAGGAGGAATATCCAAAACTAGTCAAAAAAAAAAACGTGGACGATTTTCCGACTATTTTTGAGCATATTTGAATATTTTCTGCCGTCTTTTTGATTGTTCGTCCAACATCCGCCTGTAGGGGGACATGCCCGACCTAAAACTACCTAAATTTTGGCACGCCGTGCACCCCTGTGGCAAGCTACACGGGGCGGCGGATCGAAGACGCCTGCGGCGAATGACCGCCGCCCCCTGCCTTTTTGGAAGCGCCTGCGTGGCCGAAAGTTAGGTTTGAGCTTGGCCAAGCTATCGGGCCACGCGTTCTCCGAGTGGGTTTCGAAAGCCTTCGGGGAACACCGAGTCGGGCGAGCTATCGGACCAGGCCAAGCTTTCGGGCCTCCTGGAGGATGTCTTGGAAGGCTTTTGGGCCGTCTTGGAGGCCTCCGAAGGCCATCTTCAGTCCATCTGGGGCCGTCTTGGGTGCATTTTTGGGCCATCTTCGCTGTCTTGAGGGCCTTCTATCTTGGAGACCATCTTGGCCGTCTCGGAGGCCATCTTGGGCGTCTTTGGGGCCTCTTGGGCCGTCTTGAGGCCTTCTTGGGGCCGTCTTGGGGGCCCCTTGGGCCGTCCGGGTGCCATCTCGGAGGCCTCTTGGGCGCTCTTGGGTCGATGTTGGGGGCCGCTTGGGCCGTCTTGGGCCGTCGGAGAGCTGAAAAGGAGCAAAAGCCACAACCCTTGAAACACCCAAGGCAATTCAATGATTTTAGCCCTGGTTGGCCTTCCTGGAGGACGTCTTGGATGGCTCTTGGGCCGTCTTGGAGGCCTCTTGCGAGCCTATAGGGCCGTCTTAGGCCATCTTGAGGCCAATTTGGGCCGTCTTGGGTGCATCTTCGGGCCATCTTTGCCGTCTTGACGGCCATCTTGGGCGTCTTGGAGGCATCTTGGAGGCCATTTTGGCCGTCTTGGAGGCTATCTTGGGCGTCTTGGGGGCCCCTTGGGCCGTCTCGGGGCATTCTTGGGGCCGTTTTGGGGGCCTCTTGGGCTGCCCTGGGGCCGTCTTAGATGCTTCTTGGGCACTCTTGTGACGATCTTGATGGCCTCTTGGGCCGTCTCGGGCCGTCGGAAGGCCGAAAAGGAGCAAACGCCAAAATCCTTGAAGCTAGGGAAAATCAATGATTTTCACATCTTCGGGCCTTCCTGGAGCAGCTCTTGAGAGCCTGTGGGACCGTCTTGGAGGCCTCTTGGGAGCCTCTTGGTCCATTTTGGGCTGTCCTGGAGGCATCTTGGGGCCATCTGAGCTGTCTTGAAGGCCATCTTGACCATCTTGGAGGTATCTTGGAGGCCATCTTGGGTCATCTTGGCGGTCTTGAAACCCATCTTGGCCGTCTTGGCAGAAATCTTTACGCACATTCTGGTCGTTTGCGCGAGACCCCGGCGGGACGGGCCGAAGCCCCAGGGAGTTTTTTTGAAGAACGAGCACCGTCTAGGATCTCGCCTGGCACCCCTGTGGCAAGCCAACAGGAGGCGGCGGATCGAAGACGCTTACGGCGAATCACCGCCGCCCCCTGCCTTTTTGGAAACGCCTATGTGGCCGAACGTTGTGGCCAGAGGCCTGCCAAGCTATCGGACTATGTGTTCCCCGAATCGGTTTGGAAAGCTTCGGGGAACACGGTTGGGGAGGAGGAAGGAGAGGAGAGGGAGGAAGAAGGAGGACGGAGGAGGAGGCCTCTTGGGAGCCTCTTGGTCTACTCTAGGGTTTTATTGGGCCATCTTTGCGGTCTTGGAGGCATCTCGGGGCTGCAGTGGAAGCCATTTTGGGGCTATATTAATCGCTTCGCTCATTCCGCCGGCCCGTATTGTGCCATCGCAGGCGTTTGCTTGCGCGTTCGTGGCCTCTTGGAGCCTCGGTGGGGCTGTTTGGGGCCTCTTGGCGCCTCTTTTTAGGCCTCTTGGAGAACTCGGGAGGCCTCCAGGGGGCCTCCTGAGCTCTCATGACGGTCTCTTGGGGGGCTTT